AAGTACCAGTTAAAATATAGATAGCGAATTGGTTCTAGTCTTAAAATCTTCCTTAATTTATGTGCTTTCAAAATATCCACAATGAGATTTCCGTGCTCATCCCCTTCAGCCGACCAGAACGTTAGCACCCCATACGTACAAAAGTAAAGTACCAGTTAAAATATAGATAGCGAATTGGTTCTAATCTTAAAATGTTCCTTAATTTATGTGCTTTCAAAATATGCACAATGAGATTTCTGTGCTCATCGCCTTCAGCCGGCCAGAACGTTAGCATCCCATACGTACAAGAGTAAAGTACCAGTTAAAATATAGATAGCGAATTGGTTCTAGTCTTAAAATGTTCTTTAATTTATGTGCTTTCAAAATATCCACAATAAGATTTCCGTGCTCATCCCCTTCAGCCGACCAGAACGTTAGCACCCCATACGTACAAGAGTAAAGTACCAGTTAAAATATAGATAGCAAATTGGTTCTAGTCTTAAAATGTTCCTCAATTTATATGCTTTTAAAATGTACAGAATAAGATTTTTGTGCTCATCTCTTTCGTCCGACAAACCTTCCTGAAAGTGAGCACCACTATACTTACAAGTGTAAAGTGCTTACTAACATAACAATTTGTTTCCAGCTTATTAATTATAAGCTGAAAATGTTTTATGAGCTTGTGGAATATGTATAATAAAATTTAAAAGATTAACTAATTTTAAAAATTACATTTTGTTTCTATGATTAGAAAGAGAATGTTAAAAATTAGTTAAACATATGTTTACTTATATGTATTTCAGTATTTATATATTGTTCAGAATCTTAGTGAAAAATTCTCCATAACGTTTAGCGACTTTGCAATACTTACTAATAACTCATATTATATAACTTTAAAAATGTATATAAACACATATATTTAATTTTATAAATATTAATAAAATTATATTACTTATATACAAAATTATTTTACTTGTATACCACAATTCTTCCTATCTATTCCTGCATGTACTACTTCCATCTACTCCCTATCAAATATTTGATACTGATAACTATCCTATGTTTTGCTAATAATTTTACATATAACAATATTTATGCAACAAACACTAATTTCAAAAAATTTTCTGAAAAAAGTCTTATTAAACAATTTAATCAATACATTAACCAGATCAATTTCAACTGATTTAATTATGTAAACTATTGTTTCTGTCTTTATAGCAAAATCAACATCAAATTACCATTAATCTTACATATATTGTAGGTATAGGAATAACTAGATTTTAAAAAATTATAAAATAAAAGTTATAAAATAAAATTATAATATAATGATGTTCTAACATTTTCGTAAAAAAATTAATGTTACTTAGATTTTTTTTCATAATTTTTGTCATAAAAAAAGCATTAAAATTTTATTATACATATTCCACAAGCTCATAAAACATTTTCTGCTTATAATCAATAGGCTGGAAACAAAAATTGTTATGTTAGTAAGCACTTTACACTTGTAAGTATAGTGGTGCTCACTTTCAGGAAGGTTTGTCGGACGAAAAAGATGAGCACAAAAATCTTATTTTGTACATTTTAAAAGCATATAAATTGAGGAACATTTTAAGACTAGAACCAAATCGCTATCTATATTTTAACGGGTACTTTACTCTTGTACGTATAGGGTGCTAACGTTCTGGCCGGCTGAAGGGGATGAGCACAGAAATCTCATTGTGGATATTTTGAAAGCACATAAATTAAGGAACATT